AACAACAGGTCTACATAACTAAGATTGTCAAATTGTAAATCCAGAGCATGCATAATTCTACTACTTTGCTGTAACTTAGTGGTCAGTTATTAGGCGAAATAGTTGAAGAATATTATGAGGAAATGAACTAACAAATGTGTAAAACAGACATGGAATCAATTTTTGTCACTCAAACTTTGGTGAAATGTTTCAGATAAATGCTCAACTCAAAAATAATCAACATCTGTATATGCTTATGTGTACATAATCATACATAGACATCCCTTGAATAGTTGGTCACACATGCACAACAGAGAGAGACAGAGAGAGAGAAAGAGAGAGAGAGCGCCACAAAAGTTTATTTTGCAAAACCAAAGAAAATTTCAGGATTTATTAGAGAACATCACCATTTTCCCAATTTCTTTTTTTCTGGAAAAATAATGTTAAGTTGTACATCAAAATGCATTCACAAAGAAAGTATTTTTAGAAGAAAAGTACTTAGTGTAAGAGAAAACAGTCTTTTTTCCTAGTGCATGCAGATTTTCTCTTCATTACCGCTACTTCTGCTCCTAAAATATATCGTGTCAGCCTAATTCATAGTTTGCTACTTCTTTACACAGGATGATAAAATGAAAATTTGTCGCAGACCCTGAAAATGTTCAGTACTTTTCACACAATGCTAATGGTCTGCCATAATTTGTATTGTACTGACAAGAAAGTCCTCATTCTAAGCCCAATTCTTTCTCTAAATAAGTGAATTATCTGCTAAACATAGGAGTTACACTCAGAATAGCAAAATGCTCACGTGAAAATCATATCAGATACACATTTCCTTAGTTCATACTCACTTTGGGACATAGGTTCATTGTTTGGGATAATGCTGAATTACAAATACTATTTAAATCGCTTTTTGGTGTTGGTGTTGTTTTGGTTTATGGATTTTGATCAAGCAGATATAGTTTAATTAGGTCTTGTTATATTAGTCTATGATAACAACATATCATTCCAAGGTATTCTGTTTCACCTAACAGAGAAAAAAATAAATTCTTATGGTTAATTTTGGCTAGGTTGATATGGAAAGCAAATAAAAGGAGCATTGCTGGGAGAATAGAGAGTGCATTCAGCATAAAGATAACACAACAGTGGCTAATTAGTCCTTAAACCCCAGAGGGTTGAATTGTTTCCTTGTGAGAAGCTCCTGGAAACAAAAGGTCTCCCTCTGACTAACTGTGTTCTATGGGTGAAGTCTCCCCTCACTAATGAACACATCAGTGACCTCTAACATCAGTACAGGAGTGGATGAAACAGGAAGCAGAGATGGAAGCCCAGAAAGTCACTTTTTCAGGAAGTGACTCCACGTTTCTACAGTCCCTGTATACTTTATGACACTATAAGCTTTTCACAGTTATTCAGACTAATTGATGAAAAGCAGTGGAAGAAATAACAAGTCAAGATATAAAATTCCTCCCTTTACAGACTCGAGATGTAATATATATGGAATAGCAGCATTATTTTAAAAAAAAAATCCTCATGTAAGGGCAATCCAACAAAATAATGTCAGAATCCACAAAATGGCAAATAGACTGGTGATAAATCCTTACAGGGTAAATTACTTACATAATAAAAATCATCCACAAAAGTATTCTAAATATTCTTTTAATACATTTGAATGATTTATATCATAACTATAGATTGGCTATGAAAACACACACTTGGCTAGTGTCACTTTTTTATTAAATAAGTAAAAAAATAAAATTTTAGCTAAAAAATATACAATCACTGTTAGTAATCTCAACAAAAATATTTAACCTCCAAATTAAATGTTTGTGTGTGCGTGTGTGTGTGTTGTTCACATGAAACTCAATAAGATTGAGATCAAATCCTCACTATGCAAAGATCAGTGCAATTTTATTTTTCAAGTAACTATATTTTTCCTACTTTGGGTGCTTAGAGGCCACGGTATAAACAAAAACATATGATTATTTAACTAAATTCTCTAGCTCCCACCTAGTTTTTCTAACAGTATTGATAATATTTGACTCCTTCAAGGTTTCTAACATCATCCTCTCCTGGGAAAGAAGGGAAAAGCAGCGCCTCTGCCCTACTTACACCAGAGGTGGAAAACTGCCTGCCAGACACAGAATAGCACCCAGGCCACTGGCTGCCATGAGAGGCACCTAGCTAGCTCTCAGGAAGTCTTAGTGGAAGCACAGCCCTGCCGCCTTAGGGAAGGAGAAAGGAACCAGCCTTAGAAATCCTCCTAAGAGGAGATCTAGACCATTAGCCACAATGTCAATATCCTGAGTGCCCTGGAGTAGTCAAGGGGCAAACAAAACCTTTGGGAATCCTTATCTCCATAACCTCCATAGAAGTTGTTTAAATGTCACTTTCTCATAGTTTGGCATTGCAGGAATCATAGCAAAGTACCTCCCTTAAAATGTCTTCTTCAGAAAAGGGGTTTGAGGTGCACAGATCATGTGTTGAAGTCATTACTCACATATTGCTTTTCCTTTAGAAAAAAATACTGTCCGAATTTCGTCTTCTTTTTCATTACATTTTTCTGACATGTTATAGGTTTTTAGAAATCTTATATTGGTATCTGAGACCATATAAAAACATGAATAAATAATAAGATGTACATGTCTTCCATATGCAAATAAGTATTTATATGATTACTCCTTTAGCTTGTTGTTTTAAAAATATTGTCATTATGATTTTTAGAATCTATTTTTTCAGATATCTTCCAGTTAAAATCTAAATAATTGTTTAATTTATGTCTGTCATTTTCTTTTTCTAATTATGCAAATATTCAAATGTTCCAAACTACTTTGCACTGGGATTTGTTTAGAGTATTATCTCACTTTTTAATCATCTCCAATTTCTTTGAGATATATGATAAAACTGAACCATCACCTAATTTTAATTTCTTCCTTTATTTAGTAACCTTTTTGTTTGTTTTTAAAGAGATATTTCGTGTCATTCAACTTACTTGGAAAAATGTGGAGAATCTTTTATTTCATGAATTTCATTCATTCAAAGATTTTGGCACACTATTCCAATTCCTGAAATGTGGCCTTATGTTTTTATCCAGTAAGTAATAAAAGTTTAATTATTTGATATATAACACCATTTTGAAAAGTGTAGTCTTTTCCCATTCTTCAAAAAATAAAAGTATCATATGTAATCCTTTAATTGAGTGTTAAAGTTTAGCATTTTATTTGCATGTGAATACTAAACCAAATATATTTCTGAAAAAACCATGCTTACTTTCGTTATTAAGACTGAAGGCTGTTGCCATATAAAGTTTTTTTCATGGAAAAAAAATATATAATACTGTGTTGCAACAAATTTCCATTGAGGACTGAGAGAATGATAGTATTCTACACTTAGTTTCAACCTTTAAAATTCTAAAGAACAAGGCAATCATATACTTTAGACCAAAGTCATTTATCAGTTTTTTTCTATAAGTATCTTCTTAGTGGAAGAAATATGTTAGATTATTAAGTAGGTCCTTTTAATATGAACATTTTTCAATCAAACTCCTAATTTTCTATAGACTATAAATGTCATTAGGTTTCATAAGTCCTCTTTTGAACTTTGCTGTGTGTTTTTGCAAATAAGAATCTTAAAATTATACACTTCCTAAAATTAATTCACTTTATGCATAAATAATAGAGGCTACTGATTTACAAGACTGTATATATCTCAGAGAAGGTGAAGACAGTCACTCCAAGGCTTTAAGTGGCAGGAGTATGGGTTTTCCACAGTAAATGTCTTTCAGAACTGTGGACAGCTCCCATTAAGGCCTGAAATTGATAGCAATTCCCCTTAGTTTCTAAACATAACTCAAAGTAATTTGCTTTTTATTGCTATACTTATTTGCTGTCTAATAGACACCTATTAAAACTGCTTAGTTTGCACACATACGCCTTTCGTTGATTCCTTTTCGAAGAGTTCAGTTAAATAAATAAACTAATAATGCCACTCTGAGTTACTAGTTTTTTAATGGAAAGCCAAGCATTCTTCAGGAGCTAATATAACGTGGCTTCAGGGTGTGCGCACGCTAATAAGAGGATTCACTTCACGACCTTCATTTGATAATCTCTAAACATGCTTATAACCGAACGAATACTTGGGCGACAAAGAAGACCAGGAAACGTCTTAATTTTAAGTCTCTGAAGCAATTTCCCTGACAGCTGACAGCTCTCCTGCCCTTTTTTCCGAGCTGGAAAACGAGGAAAGATTTCTGAAATAGACTTGTAGTCAAGGTCAAGAAAGGGTGTCTCTGTTTCAGGAAGGGGGCTCTGGAAACGCCCCCTGTCTCTGTTTCAGGAACTCGAGGCTTCCTGTCACGCTCTTGCCCAACCTGGCAGCACCGGCTCCACTGAAATCTGAAGTCAAGGACTATCCAAGCGCAAATTACCCTTCCTCAGCCTACCAGCCACTATTTTGAAGACATGCATTGAGGATATCCGGTGCCTATAAGCAGATGAAAAGCAGATTAACGCTCCCCGGGGGTGAGAGCGGCTGGAACACTAGGACTCGTGAGTGCGTCCCCGGGTGTCCCAACCTCTTCTCGACCCCAGGAGCGCCTTTTTCCCTTTTGGGAGGATCCACTTCTTGGGAGAGCAACACCAAGAAGGGTGGCACTCCCAGGACGACTTTCTGGCCGCTCCCTTACACGCTCATATCCGAAGTAAAAGTTTCCCTGGCCCAACTTAGCATCCTCCTGTCCGAGAGTAACGGTGGCCTTCTTCCCCGATCTGTCCCTAAAGTTCACGAAGCAAAGGAGGAGAGCCTCCCCGGGACTCCCAGGCCACAGGAACTCATCAGTCAACCCCCTCTTGGGTGGAAACTAGTTGAAGAAGAGTCGAGCCTGCTCAGCCCCAGGAGGAGAAGCCGGCAGCGCCACCCCCGCCCGCCCGGCACCCCCTCCCTCCGAGTCCCCCCTCCCAGAGCCGGGAAGCGAGTTTGCGGGCGCGCCGGGAAGGAAAGGTGGGGCGGCGACAGGGAGTCCTCACCTGAAATCGCTGTAAGGGTGGATAATCCAGAAGCCTGCAGTTTTAACCCTTTCCTGCTCCTTCTCCACCGCCTTCTGGCTCCCGAACATGCGGAGGGAGAATTTGTTGACCCCGGGCTGCAGCATGGAGGTGAACTGCCTCTGCATGAAGCCGTACTGCCGCCGGGGCCCCTCGGCGTCCTCGAAGCCCCCCGCCGGCTCCTCGCCGCCGCCGCT